CTAAATCCAGAAGCAGAATCGTCAAGTGGCGAAAAAAAATGAAATCGGTTGGACTTTTTTTCTACAAGCAAGAAAGGACACTTGGGCAAATGAGTGCAAAGGGGCAGGGGCTTTGCACATCCCTGACTTCTGATAAAATGCAGTAACAGGGCCCAGAGATTTACTCCCATCAACTTGATAAACTACACATACAAAAACAGCGAGCTCTCAACAGAAACTTGTATGATATTTATATTACTGAAATCTATTTAAAAACCAATCCAATCATTAAAACCATAGATAAATATTAACCAACCAACTAAATCAGAATTGCTGATGACAGCTTGTATAAACGAATATTCATTCCAAGCAGGTGACCAAAACTGTCAGTATTCTAGAGCAATTGAGTTTATATTTAAATACAAAACAGAGCTTTTGTTGTCATTTATCAATATAATTAAGATTTTCTTGATCTGAATATTGTTCAGCTTGCACAAAAACCTTATTTTATATTGTTTGGCATTTTGCAAATGTATATTTTTTTCTGAAATATGTTACTTCTTTCGTAAATTTTATAATATACTGTTACTATTTCTAACAATACCATAATAGCTTTTGACAGGACTTGATTTTTTTTACAGAAACCTTTATAAGAAGTGTAACTGCTACTAATTTCAAAACCTGTACTGTAGGTAATTGAGCCAAGTAACTTGTTTTCAACACCAAAATGAAACATGATATAAACTACAGGAAACAAATGATTAATGGTGCTATACTTTATCCAGCCTTTCCTACTCACACTATATTTCACAAAAATATACTCCCTTCAACTTTTGGTCCAATCTCTTTTTCACTCTAGATTGACTCTGCAGCTTTCTTAGTGTTCTCTGTCTTTTTATCCACTCTGTTTCTACTGTTTCCTTCTCCACACTCTCCTGCCTCTTGTTTTGGCTCTTTCTCCTTCTTTATGCTACTATAGTAAGCTATCATACCTAAAAACTTCATAACTGCTTCATTCTAATCACATGCCAGCGCCTTCTCAAACCCCCCCCCCTGTTTAGACTGTACATTTCATTTCTATGATTTCCATTGTATCATCTGTGCCTTATATTGGTATTTTAGACTGTCTTATGTCACTGGTTTCCAAGTCTTCTTGTCTTTGATATGGGACATGTGAAATGAGTATTGACATGGTGAAGTAATGAAAGTAATGAAAGACTCTTGAGAAAGGGCTAAACATTTTTAAAACATAAAAAAACACAAAAGAGACTATGGGAGCAAAAATTAGGGCATATTTGCAATCTGGAACATCAGGACCCTCGTAGACTATGAGAACTCTGTACAGCAGTTCTAGCCCAAGAACTCCACACATATGACACTATAATTTCAGCTCTGAGTATTACCCATTATGAGGAAGGATGGGAAGCTCAAGAAATATAGAGGTGAATATAGATCTTCCAGGAAGTAAAATCTGACAAAGAATATTGAATCCACTCTTCATCTCAAATTAATATAGAACAAAAAGCCTTTATAATTTCTGCATATGCTCCTGGTCTAGATTTTTATGCAAACTTCACTAAGTTATTTGTTGAATCCTAGTTGAGTTTCTAGAAGCCTAGTTTCTTCTCCTCAAGTCTTGCTCTGTTCTCCTGCTTTCTACAGTATGTGTGTGTGCATTTTATCTAAACTTATCTGCAGTCTCTGTTAAATATTGATATTCCCATATGGCTGACCTAACTAACAGAGAGTTAGTTTAGCCTGCGTTAACAGGTAGTACATTATAGTCTCAACATCTGCAAATGTTGATTAGCTTATTTGCTTTTGCTTCACTTTCCAAGCCAGATCTGGTTCTGGGTCAGTCCAGCATCTTCTCAGTTTCAGTACTACAGGGCCAAGCTATACTCATTAAAACGATTAGCTGCCTGGAGGGGGGGGGGGGGCATCCATTTGGGCCGGGACCCCCAGAGGTTTATTTTCTCCCAACGGGAGTTTTTGTCTTACTCTCCACAGTGCCCACATGGATTCGTTGAGTGGTAAACAGCGCTTTCAGTCCTGTTCCAGAGTCCATAAGAATCCAAGCAGCTAGTCCCTTATTACTGTACTTAACTCTGCTTCGGATACCAAGAGGTTACACGTCAACAGGTTTACACACCTCAGCATTAAAGCACTACAAATTCAGTGGTTATAGTAGGCCAAGACGTTGCTGTTTACCTCCGTCCCTCATTCGATTCACAGTATGAATAAAGCGAAGGAGTCTCCAATTTCCATTGCTGCTTTTTGGAGCACAATTGGAGACATGGGCCCTTATCCATTCAGATAACACCGCCATTTATAGTCAATTTAATAATACCAGTGACTTCCTTTCCGTTTTACAAAGTACTCGCGATTCCAGAGCAATTGTGGATGTTTCTTCCAACTCAAGGCTGCCTCCTTGCTGCTCAATGCATATTTATTTTAATAAGCAACTCGCCTAGGTCATCGGAAGCATTCCTTCCTTACATACAGTAACCCTAAGCAAACACTCCCCCCGCTTCTATCCAACTTCTGCGATGACCCACAATTCACACCATGAAATCTTCCCACCTCCTCCATGCTTTCGTAATTCTGCATTGGTGGTTTGGGTCCCGCTTGGTTCTTTTAGGGGTCCTGGCCTCCTTGTCCTATGGCCAGGAGGTCAGCCCACAGCCAAGCAGGTTAGGCCAAAATTTCGCTCCATGATTCTTTAATCTTGGGTGTTGTTATTTCTAGTGAAATGGAGTTCATAACGAAGTTTGGGAGGGATGACAACATCCAAGTTCAATCGGATTTAGCTGTCAGTAATTAGCAATCGCTCCTGACATCCATTCCTCTCCCAAACGCTATAAATACCTACGGGATCCCTATCTTTCTCTCTTGCATGTCGCTTGCATCCCACATTCACCCCATCTCCATCCTGCAGCTACCCCTTGGTCACCCTGCATGGGGGTCCTGCCCTCCTTATCCTCTGGCCGGGAGGTCAGCCCTCAGCCAAGCAGGTTAAGCCAAAATTTCACTCCATGGCGCTTTAATCTTGGGTGTTGTCATTCCTAGTGAAATGCAACTTTTAAATTAGCAGCGCAACAGACAGGGATTGTGAGAAAAATGTAGCTAGTGAGTAAGCCTCTCTCTGCTGCCTGCTCAAGTGCCCATTACCCTGAATCCACATCTCAGTGTTCTTGTTTTTATATTGTAACAAATAGTCTTAGTTCAATGTCAGCAGGATGGGAAATGACTGGCTGGAGGCATCTTTATGGGTTCTCTGAAAGTTTTGTTGCCCATTTCATTACATTGGGACATGATAATCATTGAGGCAGAGAGAGAAAGTGCAGGCTGGAGCAGGCTGGAGGAGGAGGGATTTGTGTTATTTTAGCTGATAACTAAGTTTTGATTACTGATTATTTCTTTTAAATTACCAGTGTTATTTAAATTAACTTAATTACTTTAATTATCATATAAGGAAAGGCTACTTGCTGTAAGGCTCTGTAGCCAA